ATTGTAAAAACAAGATTATATTAAAATTAATACGTTATAGAAATAAGATTATATAAAAATTAATACATTATAGAAACGAAATCATATTAAAATAATACATTGCAAAAATGAGATGATATAACAAAAATCAAATAAATAAAACTTACAATGATTTAGACGATTAAATGTCGGTAATGGAGATTGTATTAAGGTAATGAAAAATTGAAGTGTTGGTTTTGTGTTAGTAATAAAAAATTTGAATTGTTTATATAGTGGTGTTGAGAAAGAAAAAGACAAAATTGAATAGTGTTGTATTGGAAACTTTGGTGTAGTAGCTCGTTGAGGGCGGTTTTGTATCCGCTAGCGGCTTGCTAGCTATTTGTTTTTTGGTTATATAATATCGGCCGTTCCAAAAAAAAAAAAAGAATAGTGTTGCATTAGGAAGGAGGAAATTAAATAGTGTTGTATTGGGAATGAGAAAATTGAATAATGTTATATTGGGAAGAAGGAAATTGAATAGTGTTGTATTTGGAAGTAGGAAATTAATATTAAATTTCTTAAAAAAAATTAATTTTTTTAAGAAAAATAAATAAATTTCTAAAAAAATTAAATTTAAAAAAAATTTATGAAAATTAATTTTTTTTTTTAAATTAATCGGCCGGGTGGGACCCTTACGCACCGTGCTCCGACCAGTATATAAAGGTGGGGCCCACCGCTTGAAAATTATTTTTATTTAAAAAACGTTTTTTATAAATTGCACTTTGGCTCCTGTACGCATCTAACGGTGCTGATTATTTCGTTAAAAATTTTAATTTTAGGGTTAAAATTGTAAATAACCTATTTTAAAAGGTTTTGTCAGTCAGTATCCCGATTTTACCTCCCTAACCATAAATTAATTATATTTGATACAAATTGGTGGATAAATCAAAGGTAGGGTAATGAGATCCCTAGATATATTAATGGCATTTATTTTATTTTTTTGTCTTTTTATCTTTTTGGTTTTTTTTATTGTTTTTACTTTTTTTTTTCTTATTTAATAAATATACTATAACAGTACTCGCGCAATGCAGCGAGACACATTTTGATTTTAATGTGTTTTTAAAAAAGCAATAATGATTTTATTTTTGAATAAATATAAATTTGGAGATATCATAAATATTTAAATATATATATTTCAATGTTAATATCAAAATCAACTATTTAAAAATTCTCATTTTTTATGTAATTTCTTTAATTTTTTTATTATAAATTAATTTAAGTTTAATAACAAAATAATTTATTAATACTTAAGTATTTTGTTAGAACTCAATGATTATTCTAATTATATTTTAGATATTTTATATTTAAAATGAGATGTTTATCTTGTATTTGATTGTGTTTATCTGTAGTTAGTTACACGAATTCAGATATGGAGCTTTAATAAGTTGTACTTACGCACAATTTACTTCCAATCTTGAGTTTTAAGTAATATGCATTAATAAACAGTATTTTACGCATAAAAAGTGGTTTTTAAAAGTTTTTGTCAAATGCTTTATAATATACTAGAAGGATACTCGCGCAATGCAGCGAGACACATCTCGATTTTAATATTTTATTTTATTATTTGTCTCTGTCGATGTTATAATACAATTTTATGTGTTTTTAAGAAAGCAATAATGATTTTATTTTTGAATAAAATATAAATTTTAAAATATCATAAAATTTTA